TCATAGTTTACCATTTAAACTCCCTGTTAGCAAATAAGCTTTGTTATCCTAACGACGTAGTGTTTAGGCTTAACAACATAAACTTGGAGAATTTAAATTTTGTTTGTTCTCTTTCAATTATGAATTTCAATTATAGCGCGAAATAATCTACATTCGCCAAATTTAGTATTCAATTCACTTTTTGCGGGGATAGCAAAGAAAATTCGTTTCTATTTGTTTTTTTTGTATCTGACGAGTATGCTAGGTAATAAAACTTTTTTTATTTTTCATTACAAATAATTGGATTGAGAAACATTATTCATATGTTAGATGTCGTAACACTGTCGATCTAAAAAAGGCTAATGGTGTTCCAATAAAACTTTCAATTTCGAACTCTCAATACGTTTCCAGTTTTCTTCTTGAAGATCATTATACCAAATATTCTTACGGCTTCTGATAAATGATTTCGTTGTGATTTGGCTGTCTAAAGCTCGACGCTATCGGACTAATACCGTTAAACCTTAAACAACTTGATCCTGATTGCTTTGCCACAATTTGCCATAAATAGCTTTTCTCTGCTCAAGGAAATATATTCCAATAACAAACCAAAGTCTTGTAAATGATGCCTCTACGAACGCTTTTCGTCGTAGCGGTCTTGTTGACGAATTTCCTTGGTAGAAATGTTATGCGAGAGTATACGTGACGTGCGCATAGCTCTAATTTGGCAATCGAATTGCGCAATCAAATTGGCGGGAAAACAAGAATTCTAGATTACTGTCACGATTTAGCCGTAAAAGGCGACAAATTGATAGAAATAATTCTTGGTACACTAGTTATAGGATCCGAATATTGGATCACAAACATGGCAAATATACGACTCCCAATATACATTGATAATCCAGAATTACCGAGTCCAAGTTCACGGAGATTCTCCTTGAGAGGTATCATTGCGCGGAGCATGCGGATCAATGGAATGTCAGTCCGCGCGTATTATAAGTATAACGATATAAATGACTTTGGACGGGTATTAAAAGAGATTTGTCATTTCAAAGTATTAAAAGATAAGTTTATTCAGAATTTTCTAATCCGACTACGTAATAATTCCACATTAGTTGAAGATTTTCTTATAATGAATTAAAATAATATCTTCAATTTATGATCCATCTGGTCTGGTAAAAGAATAAACGACAACTCATTGTTGAATTCGGATCTCTAAGGGAATTTTTAGTACATTTAGGTTAAAAAAAAACAGGAACGATTATTGAATCAATATTTCATAATATCGTTTTCACATTTTATTTACAAATCTAACCGAAATATATTAATTACTGTATATGCTGCGGTATTGCTGCACGGCATGTTAATGAAACGCGCATTACATGTTGATAGTAAATACTTTCTATCTTCGATCACAGCAATACTATACTTAAAAATGATGATATATCTGATGAAAGCTGCAAACTCATCACGCAGCCATTACGCCTACTTTCCATAAAAAGTAAAGGAAAGGTCGCTCCTTTTGATCAAATAGATATAACGAAATAGGTTTAAATGATCAAATGTTTGAATTAAATATCATTAATATTTGTTTTTCAGTTTTAAAAAATAATTGTAATTAATGAATGCTATACATTAAAAATGACAACTCGTTTGTTTTCTTGTTTGATTCAAAAGCAAATAGAAGATCATAAGATTACCTAATGGAAAAGGCGGCGTTCGGTTTTTCAACCGGTTTTGATTGGTAAAACGTGTTATTTTTTTAAGGAGTTGATCACATTTTGTTCAATTCACAAGAAAATTGAGAGTCCGACAAAAAATATGACGACTTTGGAAAAGCCACCTCGTATCATGAAACGAAATTAAGTATTTGTTTTGCAAATCTATTTTTTTTTTTTAAAAAAAAAATTCGCTTTTTAGTACTTTGATATTTTAACTTGATAAAGATATCAAGGAACGAATCATTTCACATAGATAATGTCAAAAGTCGATTAATAACTTACAAATTTGTCTAATCAATGTAATCGCATCGATCTTATCAGTGATAAAAAGTACAGTATAGTATATATTATGTATATGTATACACTTTATGCAAATCACCATAAATTAATTGATTTTTTTTTTAAAAAAAAAAAAAAAAAAACTTGGATTATTTGAATTTCAAAATGGATCCTTCAATAAAATTATCTTCGCTCCTTCTTGCTTCGATTGAGGTAGTTATTATATATCATGAACAAAGATAAGATTACGAACGTACATAACCTAATCGAAAATTATAATAATTTTAGTCTACAGGTCTTGTCATCGGAATAGTGCTCATTGGTTACATAGGCTCAAGGTCCGGAATAATCTCTCAAAAGATACGAAAGGTACTTTTTCTAAACGAAATTTGGGTGAAATTCCTACGGTGTTTAACACAACATTTTTTTTCTTATTTATTTATAGAATTTAGCACAACTAGTTATGAATCTTTTCTTACCGTGTTTATTATTCTCCCAAATTGGAAGTAATATATCAGCTTCGATGTTATTAAATCTATGGCCATTAGCATTCTTTTGTATAATATACATTGTCATCGGAAGGTTCTTTAGTAAACTCGGTTCAAAACTTTTGAGATTAAGCTCCTCAAATAAAAAGTTTGTTGAACGTTCAATTACGTTTAATAATATAACGAGTTTACCTGTAGGATTCATTAAAGTCCTAGCAAACACTAATGTAATACGATTATTTGCATGTGATGATGATGAACCGTCTGAGCAAACTGTGACACGTGGTATTACTTACCTTCTACTATCTACGCTCTTCGTTTTGATCACGAGGTATTTTTGTTTATATTATCGTCATCAGTTTTGCACACTGTATCATGTGACACGATGATGAGATCTCCTTGTAAATTAATGTATTAATGATAGATTTTAAATTTAGATGCATCTTGGACCTGATCTTTTCAAAAGAAAAGCTTGTAAAATTAACCAAAAATGATTTAAAAACCTTACCGATTTATTATGACGAAACAACTCCTTTAATAACGGCTCGATCTAAATCCAAATGTAAAAAATTATTTAAAACGCTGGGTAGTGTTATGAGTCCACCATTATATGCTGGCATATTAGCTATAATAATTGGTACAATTCCTTCACTCAAGAACATTTTCTTTGAAGAAGCTTCATTTCACAGGAACATTACACGCGCAATGCAATGTATAGCATCAATGACGGTTCCATTGACACTTTTAAATATTGGTGCACAATCCGGATTTGCAACGAACCTCAAAGAACGCGAGACAATTAAATCGATTTCATTCATTATGTCTTGTAGATTCTTCTTAATGCCTATTATTGGTGGTTTATTGACTTTAACTGTGAGAAACTGGTTTATTGATGATCCTATGTTGATCTTCGTATTAATCGCTTTGGCTTGTTGGCCTACCAATATTGATTTTATGAATACCGAAAGCAATACGGCAGCCTTGATGTTTTATTCTTATTTAATTTTTTCTCCTTTGATCATGCTTACGTTGGTTACTATATTAAATTTAGTCATGCTGACGACTTGATTGATGCAATTATTCATTTTCAAACTCGCATACATTGGAAACAAATGCTTGCGCATAAAGTGTTTAAACTTAACTCGTAAACTCGATGAAGACTTGGTCAGGAAGACCAGATGAGCTTGAGAAGCGTTAATTATTGTTTTACGTCTCCTTTAGGAAAAACGTTTGGTAACGGTTCTTTGAAGAAAATATTTATTGTTATTTTCTTGAAAAATATTAGAGGGAAGAGAGCATTTGAATTAATTAATTAATAAATTAAACATTTTCAAATCCGACCATAACTTTGAGATTGAACTACTGACCGGAACGAGAAATTTAGATTGTAATTTCTTAATTCCGGCAGGAATTATCGGCCTAAATTAGAATACTGTGAAAAATTAACCTCGAATTTCGACGATAGTCTTGATTTTCGCCCTTTTAGTTTAGAAAGATTTAAGGTTTAGAATTTCGGTATTACTTACCCTTTGAAAATTGTACAGTGGCATATGAGGGATTAATTGCAAGTAAATTCATTTTCTCAAGATAAAATATTGATTAATAAATCTTTGAAAATCTAATAGTTTTGCGATTAAATTTTGGATAAAATAAATTAAAAATTAATTGTTACTTGCTAACCTTATAATGCTTTCGGATACGACCAGGTAATTCATTTCCTCAAGAAGAACTTATCCTGCTGTTGCTCCACGTAATCAGGATTTTGATCAATGGAAGGTTTTCTAATAAAATCGAGTTACGAGACAGTAATTATATGATACGTAACATGATTTGAATAGAAACAAATGTTTACTTGTAAAAATTCGAGTCACGAGGACATTTGCAAATGTCAGGAACAATAAAAAAAGAAATCTGAGCATAATCGGCATCAAATTACGTGGGTCAATAGATATCACCTAAAAAATGGTAGCCGGATTTATTGGGGATTAGGAAATTTGTCACATCATGTCATCATCTATATGTAAATTCCTTACAAGGTTGTGTGACCCGGCAATTAAATCCGGCTCGTTATATCATGTATTCCGGAGTTAACAACAGTTTTCGGTTTCCTAATAATATAGAAACATAGAAACATCAATGTTATTCCCATTATTTAAAAGGATATGGGAAGGTATTTTCTCGTTAAAAAACATAAATGCATATCAATGTATAAAATGGGAAATATTTACAATATGCAATTTAATTAATAATTTATTATTAATTAGAAAAAAAAAAACATAATTTATTTATGGTAGTGGTAAGTATTATTATATAATACCTTGCAAGATTAATTTGTTGTTTAAATCCTTTCACATTTACATGGAGCATTACTGACCTTGTTGTACAAAGTAATGAACCAACTTATGTAAAACGAAAATTCATGTCAAAGAAGTTAGTAAGTGTTATAAATAACATTACTTAATCATAAATATTATTTATTTTCCACAGAAATTGGGAATTTGATCCCCTTAAATTAGAAAATGGGAGATTTTTTTGGTCTATGCTTTAAAGCATCAAAAGGTTCTGTGGCTCTTACTGTTATACCATTATAACTTATTTTCCTTTTATTAGAAATGACTAACGACTATTTATAGATTTATAGGTACTCCAGAGATTTTACATAAAAAAAAAATAATAAATAAATACACAAGATGCTGCTGTGACCAAATGCGTTTATCTTATTTATTTGAAACGATCTATGAAAAAATCACAAAGGTTATGCATTTTGGGATACAATGGATCAAGTGATTCTTTTATTTATAAAACAATATTTTTTGATCATCGATCGCTATTAAAATCGAGTCACGAGACATAGTATATCAAGATTTTTTTTATTTATTTTTTTATTTTGTGTTTAATGTATTTTTTGTTTTTTATTTATTTATTTACACAAATCTCCAATCCTTGTGCGTTAAACTTCCGCGATTTTTACTATAATATTAAACTTATCAATTTTATTTCATGTTGGTTTCGCAATGCATACGCACGGATCTCGTAATTTACTTTTTATGAAAAGATTCGTCGTGTTACATTCAAGGCAGCCAAATGTAACGCGACCCAGATCATGTACAGTACGTATGAAAAAAATTTCTCGAAAGTTGCGGCCCCAGTGATCTTGTTAATAGTCGCAGTTAACCAAAAATTACACAATTTTTCGAAATTGGGACAGACTACGTGATTACAACCAAGATATTTTTATCTTGAACAGAATCTTAAAATGTTTAAGAAAGCTCGCTCATCCATTTTGAAAATTGGCATGAAATCTATGGTTCCCCCGCAATGAAAGGGAGAAACGGACAAACCAAAAATTGAGTTATTATTAAGTTGTTATTGCAAAAGGCATGAATAGTAAAATGAGTTTAAAATCAATAAGTAACCCATTTAATTCTTGGTGTCGCCGGTTGTTTACAAATATGCTTTAATCCAAGATTTTCACATTAAATAAATCACCATTTATAATAATATTGCATAATATACAGTAATTATATATTGAATTAATAACAAAATGCTTACAAGAATATTACGAATGGACTCTTTATATTTTGGGTAGTCACACAATTTTCGAAATCGCGTTTAAAAAATAAGGACAGCAGAAAATATTCAAGGAACCTCTAGTAGAGACCAAAACGAGAGACACTTTTGCTAAAATATCTCTTCGCATCGGTGAACACAAAAATTTTATGTTTTGTGAGGGATGTAACTTGTAATATTAAGGTAATTTGTCAATGCATCTCACGGTAATGATTATAACACATAACAAGCAGAATTACGGCAAGAATTACGTACGGCATACGGCATAAATTATGGCATACTGTTCGAATTAAGGTATACGACACGCGCGTAATTACTTATGATTGGTTAAAGAGAGTTTTAGTTCCGTGTCGATGAATAAAATAATATTTTTATCTTGACATTTCAACTTGGAAATTTTAATTATCAAAGCTTGCCATTATTAAATATAACCAAGTAAAAAAAAATAGTTCGTCTGTATGCTTTAAAAAAACCGGGCTTCGGAGATCTCCACGTGGGTTTGCATCACACTTACCTAAACTAATTCGACACGACATGACTGTGAATTAATCATGCAGAAATTGAAAGAGTCATTTTCGGTGCTTTGGTCATATTTGGTCTTATCCGTATTAGTTTGATTAGTCAAAAATGATGTGATGCATAAAACAAGTTGGATTCCGATATGGGTCCTACACTGCATTGTAATCTTTACCGTCATGAAAGATTCTTTATAAGAGAAAAAGTTTATGACTACATTATTAAGCGTCGTAGTTGATTGTTTGTTTGTTATAAAATGATCAACACAACATCCTTCAAGTTGCTAAATATTGTTCATCCAAATTTTCTTTAAACCTCATTTCTTCTTTGCAAACAAAGAAATGAATTTATTTTACGAGGCACAGATTTGTGAATTTAGTAATAGGTTTGATATTATTCATTAATTTGACATCATTGGTTATAGTAACCTGTTTCAATAAAAAAAAAAAAAAAAAAAAAAAAAAAAAAATTCTGTATACAGAACTTTATGCGGAATCCGGAATTTGTCAAAATTCGGCCCCTTATGCGTTATTTATATTAATTCACATACATTTTTATTGTCATAAACGAATCATAAGAAATAGTTCATCACACGTCATGTAATGTTTTTTTTTTTCTTTTTTTCTTTTCATACAAACAATAAAAATAATACTTTTTTTTCAATTATTCCAACTATAGGTCACAAACCTCATCTTTGATATGATTTTGTAAATAATAACTAACTTATTATGTAATAAAAATAAAAAATATATGATTATCAACTTGTGTAATTTATTCGCCGCTATTTTTAGTGGTTTTTTATATGAAGGAAATAAAATTCTTGCGCGACCCATAAGGATCAAAAACTTGCGGAAATTTTATCAACCGATTTTTTTAATTTTTTATCTGTCAATTTTTATCTTACAAGTCTTAAAGTTCATTGATTCTTAAAAATTTGTTTCTTAAATTTTTCCTTATCATGTAACATCATAAATTATCTAAGCTTAATTAATATTCCGTAAAAGAAAAAAAAAATAAATAAAAATTATATGGCGAAAATCGTTTCGTTTACCTTTTAAATAAGAAAATAAAATCATAGATTGTAAAATTATAATGAATTGATAACGAAAAAGAAGGGTAGTAGTAGAATTTCGAAAAATCTATTGTTCAAAAAAAGTATTGAAGTATTCGGATGATCCATTGAGTAAGGGAAATTCGGTTACGAGAGGATTTGTTTCGTTATTCAACTCAAATTCATTAGGAAGTGTTCCCGACAAAAAGTTCGTGTTGAGAGGGTATGCCATTTGGGTAATCATTTGAGCATTAATGTCATTAAAATACGAGTTAAAACGTGGAGATTCTTGGATATAATAAGGCATATACATTGGCGAAATCCTTCTCACAAAAGTGGATTGATTGTTTACTTCGATGTTATTTATTTGAGTATAGACGGTGCTGACTTCGATGGCTAAATTTTCGTACATTTCCTTTTCTTCTAGAGTGGCACTCCTCCAAAATATCCCAGCGACTTTGCTAATAACCCGCATATTAGCGATTCCTACCTCTTTTGCGATACTATTAACGTTCTTACGACAGAGGAGAAATCCATTAGGGGGACGAGAAGGTCGATTAGCACGATTAAAAGCTAATAACTCCACCGGATCGTTTAAATGAGGAGGGAAAATTCTCTTCCTATCGATTTTTTCAATTAAATCATTTGTTAAAAATTCTAAAGAGAAATTTAGGGCGGTCATTGTGTTTTTTACGTTTCTGACAATGATTTTACTTTTTATATTATCTTTATTAAAAAACGATCTTATAACCGCTTTAAAATATGTGAAAAGAACTCGTTTGAAGTAATTTTCAGAAGAGCTTACTCGTATGATTTTTATTTGATCGTGTCTTTTTTTTTTTTTTTTTTTTCAATGACAAGGATTTGATAAAAGAGGAAAACATGTACTATTTATAAAAGTCTGCCGTGAATAAAAAAAAAAACATAAACAAGAAATTGCTTTATTTAGGAAATATTAAAGAATAGATTAGAATCAAAATTAAAATCAGGGAATGAATCTATAGAATTCAGATTTTCAAGATATTCCGATAGGTCATCTTTATTTTAAATTATGGAATTAGCCCGACTATACCATAATCATAATTTAGCAGTTGAGACTACCTAGTATAAATATATATAAATTCGCCTAATGCTTATATTTCTTCGATTTTTGATATATGCATATATATTTATAAAGTACGCGCATACAACAATGAAAATAAGAATCTTTCCCGAATGTACTTTAAAATTACAGACGGTGATTATTAATTATTATTTGGATTCCATTTAAAGATATTCACTATAACGTAAAAAAAAAACAAATAAAATTATTTCAAACGCTCAAGCACCCAAACAAAGGGTTACAATTAAATTAAATTGCTTACAAACAAAAAAAAAGAGTGGCAAATGAGGCGCATTTCACTCGCTTATTTTTAAGTGTGGCTGAGAATTAGCCTTCCCCGGTTACTAGTTTCTATCGTCAATAATTTTTATTTTTATTTTTATTTTTATTTATTTATTTATTTATTTTTTATAATACGTATCATGCTTACGAATCATTGGCATTCCTTTATCATGCCGTGACATGTTTCATTTAACTAAGCACTTTTAAAAGGCCCTTTATAGACTTGATTAAAGTGAGGCGGTATATTCGGTTCAAAATTTGAGCCTTAAATAATTTATTTTTAAAATTTCTCCTTTCAATGTTACAACGCAGGCCGCGTTATCAAAAGATCATTTGTATTCCGAAAATATTGTATAGAACGAATAGAATGAATAACCCATCGATATTTTTATTATTAATAAATTTTTTTTGGATAAGAAATTTCCAAATTCATTTAACTCATAATATGTATGCAAGTTGATTTCAATGTAATGACCAAATTTGTTTCAAAATGAATGTCGTACCATCACATCGATTATTTTTTAAAACTTAAAAATTAATTTCTTATTAAAAGAATGCTTAATCGGGATTTTCAAAGCTTATGACATGACGAAACATGACCTGATTGTTCCTTTATACATTCTAGGAAGACAGGAGTGATCTTTTCGTCAAATGCATCCTTAGGCCTTAGGGAAAGGTCCAGACCTTGGCAGATTTAGTCGAGACAAGGGTATCCTAATTCCGTTAACCCTCGTTTGAAAAGCATTGACTTCCGTTACCTTTATCATTGTTCCTCTTATCATTGTTTCTGTTAAGGCTTGCTTTAATTTGCTACGCGAAGAATTCTCTGGTTCGAATTTTCCGGTTCTCTAATTAAAGATCATGCAAATGTATTATTAATAGATGTTAAAATGATGCACTTAATATAATTTTGTTTGATGTGCAAGGTCTTTCTTGATGGGATTTCATTGGCCACTCAAAAATAAAATTTTGTAACGATTACATCAACATTTGTCATGGAAAATATTTCATTTCAAAAAAGGGATTTACCGAAATCAATTTGTGGCCCGTTTCTCATTGATAAATCATGGTGTGACCGAACTTTGTTATCAATTCACATGATCCATCAAAGAATGCATTTTCGCAAATTAGTTAGTTCATGGGATTGGCAAGACGGGGATGATTTCCAATCGATTTTTCGTGCATAATAATGCACGAGTCAATTCATTTTATATGTCTGGATCCCTTCTTTCATACTTTCTTCGGAGTAAAACATTCCCTTTCCTACTTAAAAATCGTTCGTTCGCAAGAATAAATTTGTTAAAAAAATTCCATCACTTTTACTTTCTCTAACAAAAAAGGAAATTACTATAAAAGAATCCATTCGTCTTAACGGAGTTTCACCGATGATTACTGCGCCACGACGTTATTATTGATTATTGATTATGATTATGATTATGATTATGATATTTATTATGATCATTGGTTTTTATTTTTGTTTCCGTCTCTATTTTTCTTTTTTTTTTAAAAAAAATAAATGTTAATAATATTACAGGGTAATGAGAATTGAATAAATATAATCATAAAACCCTTTAAATCCTTTAAAGATTTTAATTTTTTTTTTTTTAGTAAATTTGACCGAAATCAAACCAATGAAATACCATTTCTACGGTTATTTACAAATCAATTGACATGCATCGGTAGTTACTATTTTAGTACATAATCGGAAGCGAATTTACCCAAGTTTTTTATTACTCCTTTAAAATGAGATGCAAAGAGTAAAAGTAGTAGTGATTTAGGAGAAATAAATAACATCAACTGAGGAAACAAAGAAATTGCAAAGAATTACTTTTGGATGCATTTCCCGATGTAAAAAAACTGACTACCAGCTTAAGGGACAGATGTTCATAATGTTCATTGTTGATAATCAAATACGTCCTATAACGGAAAATATAAACGGTAAGTGGGGAAGATAAATTTACCGATTTGTTTAGATACCGATTTATTAATTGGTCACACACCTTTCAAATTTATTAAATTAAAAAAAAAAATTAATTAATTAATTAAATTATATGATGATGATGATGCATGTAAACGGTACGTTTTGACAGCGGTTTAAAACAATAATTCGGATTCGGTTATATGATTTAATGTACTATACCGAATATACATACATTTGAATTATATAAATACACCCTCTTTACGAAATATTACGGCGGTATCATTGCTAACAATTATCACCCAACGGTCATCATAAATATTAAATAAACTTCACTTGGCCTTGAAACGACCCTAAAAAAAGCCCTAGCTAGACCTAGCAGTATGAGCGCTTCGTTACGCAGTAGCATCAATCCCCAAAATCTCTACCCCCCAACGTTGAACGACCCTAATGTAATATTGCAGATTCATTTGGGACAGAGACGTCAAGCGTTCACTCTTCCGCATGCTTATAATATCTTTAAGATTAATTTTGCTAACGAAGCAAACAGGCTGGGGTTTGATGATAAATTCCTTATTAACAGGGAGGCTTCTCTCTATTGGGCTCGTGCTACTTATCAGGAAAAACGTCATTACAGTCAATTAGCCGGAGTCGTTCAAAGTTTTTATTACCAGAGAAACGCATACATTTCACGTAACATTTCTAGGTCGTTTCATGTGGGTTTACCCACTCGTCTGTTGATGACCAACATTAACCATGCAACCCTCCCACCAACACCACTCCTTAATGTAACTCCTCTCCCTCCTACTCGCTCTCTTCCTCACGGACAACCCGTACAACAAAATCAAAATCCACCCGGACGTAATAACAACAATAATAACAACCTCACTTCTACTAATAACACTCTAGGTGACGATATCAACAACGGGTTCGCATTTAATGGTGATAACGGATTCGACATGTGCTCCCTGGATCCTTGGGCCAATTGAAGATTATAGAAAAAAAAAATTCATTCATTTAAAGTTTTTATATATGATTTGTAAGATAGGTAGAAATTATTATTTTGAAAATTAATCCCCCTTTTATTAAGCCCTTAATGTACCTTCCTTACCCTTCCCTTCCCTTCCTCCATGCTTGTTTCGATTTAAGTTGATAAAAAAAAAAAAATAATAATAAATAAAATTAATTTGTTGTTGATTTATCAATGAATAATTTTTCAGCAAATGTTGTGCATAAAAGACATTTTTTTTTTTTTGATTTGCAAAAATCAAAACCAATATTTATTAGGAAGGAAAAAAAAAAAAAAAAAAAACCTTTGTAATTGCAGATCCAAATTACGATGGAATTAAACAATAAAAATCCGCGAACCATTGTTGGTTGGTTTATAATATTTATAATCTGCGTTTTTTTTTTCAATTGTGGGCGACGCACTGCAATAACGTATCACCTAAACTAAAAATGTGTAGAAGCTTAAAAATGATCATCATTTTTCCATTTTTAATATTTGCAAGAACCAATGAGAGATATAAAAAAGAATTTGAATGGCAATCAAAAAAAGAAAGAAAGTTCCTTGTCAAAAAGGTGCTGAATATGGTTATAAAAGAAATTGTTTATTATTGGTATCAAATTACGTGAAACTTGTGTAAAGATCGATGGAACATGCATGATAAACGAAATGGTATATGGAGATTTGTATGTTTCTTTTGGCTGAATTTTTTCAAGGCAAAAATCAGGTTTACCGTAAAATTGATGGTAAATTTCTCACCCCATGTTTTTTAATTCAAACATTTATGGACAAATGAAAAAGTAAATAAATAAATAACGAACTCAATTATACCAAAAAAGCATTTTATCAGTAAACAATAATAACAAACCGCATAACTGCCAAACCCCCAAAAAGAAGACGCGATTAAATTTTCATCTCGATTGTTGATAAAAATTTTAAATAAAAAAAAAAGGATTTTAGTATCACATGTAATCAATGACACACATTTTGGACCAATGCCGAATCCGTATGTGACAAACATAAATCTTTTGTCACCCATGTGATGTTTGTTGATCGTCCACAAAATAAAAATGGCAAAAATAACTCTTTGTTGAAATTTTAAACAAGGGTTTCATGTTTTGATGATGAGGCTGTTTTAATAATGCATTTAATTTTAATTTGCATACACCATTTTCTTTCATTAACCTTAATTTTTTTCCCGGAATAAAGTTCCTTTCATTTTGATATATATAAAAAAGGTCATAAAGCGTCATTTAAAAGGGAATATTTTAATTAGAACACATCATTTGATTAAAAGTTATCTGTCGGCCATTTTCTTTGCTCGCAATTTCCTTGGTCCTCTTTTTTTTTGGCAAAAGTTTCGAAATTAGCTGCTGTTAATCATTTCACCAATTAAAACATCTTTTATTAAAATGTAATAAGGAGAAACGCTCTTGAATGATAATTGTTCCTATTTTAGGATACAAATCAATAATCTCTGTGCAACTTTTACACTGAAGATAGTTTGCCTAGCTTTTTGCGAAGTGAAATGATTTGTAATTAATTAATTTTTTTTTTTTTTTTTTTTTATTTTTTTTTTTTTTTATCCTGCATTGTATCAACTTATATTAGGGAAGTTAATAAAGAAAGGAAATTTTTAAAAATACTGTTTATTAATTGATGTTCAAAACGTAACATATAAGATCTTTCATACATACATAGAACTATGCTTATTTTTAGATTCTTATCCCTTGGAGTTGTACAAATATAAATTTAATAAATTCGGTGACCATTTCAGCCCAATAAATTGATTATTAATTATATATGAATTCAAATTCCTTTAAAAAAAAAATAAAATAAAATTACTGTAAAAATAAAAATAAATTTAAACAATAATAAAAATATACATTTATAAATTATAAATATAGATAGTTTTTTAATAAATAGTTTTATTTTTCGGAATGGATCTGTAAAACAAATCAATTTTATTTTGCATTGCCAAGCCCATGTAATTGATAAGTTGTACAATAAATTTTTTTTTATAAAAGATATATCATTACTCTGCTGCTTAAAAACTTACCCTATTTTCCTTCATTTTTCTTCCTTGTTCTTGTTTTTTAAAAAAAATAAAAAAAATAGTAATAAACATGGCACGCCGACAAGATATACAATATATCCTTACAAACATAGACATTGATGCCGTTCAAAATCTTCCATTTAACAACGACGCTCAAAGTGTTGCAGCGTTTGCGAGGAACCGTCGAATCCAGAGAATAATAACTGGACGTTCCTTAATGGAACGAAACGTCAAGAGAGAAGTCACTCGAATACTACGATCGCAAAATCGGTACTTGACAAGTATAATAACGCTAAGGCTTTGGCGAAATTGCCCAAATCTTCGTCGTCAGGAGTTTATCAGATTGGCACATGCGGCTAATAGTATAAACAGAGCCATGTTACCTCCTCGTATGATGGGATTTGGTAATTTAATGGTTTCAATAAACATACCACAAGAAACAAGAACGGAATTCGAAAGTAACCTATTCCATGGAGTGGAATTTTAAACAATCACGATAATATCGACGCCTTTCTTTTACCATCTGGATGGTTCGGATCGTCGTTTCCATAATAATCAACCGGATTGATTCATTAGACCTATTCAACGCTATTATTTTCAAACGCGAACTAACGTTGCAACTTATTAGAGCTTTATTCATATCGTCGTAAAAAGAAATATCAACTTCTTTCACACTTTTAATCAAATCAATCGCATGTTTTCATATCTCCTTTTCAAACAAATCCTTTTTTCTATTTTTTTTTTTTTAAAAAAAAATATATATATATATATTTAACTTTTCTAATACTTTTCTTTCTTTTTTTTTTTTTTTTTTTAAAAAAAAAAAAGAATATATATTATAAGTTATTGCTTTGCTTTTTATGTTTACCTTCTCCTATGCCCTTTTTTTTTCTCTTTAATTCATTCCATTAAGGTACAGCTTATTACGATGTAGTTTATATGATTTTTAAGAAATAAAAAATTATGAATAAATATTATAATCACGAGATAAAAATATAATTGCTTATTCGAACGTTGATGTATAAAATCGTGTAACAAAATTTATTTTTTTTTAAAAAAAAAACGAAAAAAAGAAAAAAACCTCTCTCCAACATTACCTGTATGAAAAGGACGAAAATATAAAAGAAAAAGGTTTTCGGATTTAGCATAATTAACCTATTATGCATACTTTGAGTTTAGGGTTGTTGATGTTTACTTATTTGCTATGTCATTACAAAACTTACCAACCAATCCATATATGTCATATTAGAGTTCCTTTATCGAACAAGACAAAGAAAATTTAAATAAAAAAAAAAGAGATATACATGACAACATACAAGCATGAAAACACCAATTAAAATATTTTCCATCTTGTTTCAAAACCTTTAGCGTCGGTTCTTACGTAAAATTCGCAAGGTAATCACCAATGTAGAAGTAAGGAATCCCATAAATGTCATTAAAACGATATCCCCAACATAGTCGTTTTATTCTGGTATAAGAATTTATCCGATGTAAATAATATTACATCATTTTATTTATTTTTTTATTCCAAACAATAGTTTAATACTTGTCAACCAAATTGGTAAAAAGAACTGTCACATCGAAATATAAAAATAAAAAATATAATTAAATTTACAAGACTTGGATTTATTTTTATATGCTAAATATGATTTTCAGGCCGAAATATGTTCGGATGTAGCGTTTAAATTGCAAGGTCTCCCCCAGAAATTCTGTCCGAATTTGATTTGTCAATCGGTAAACAATGATTGACCCCTTAAATTAAAAATCCTTTTTTATTTTTAGTTTTGACAACTTGTCATATTTTTTTTTTATTTTGCGATCCTACTCGAAACCAAATAATAGATTTTATTTTTTGTTTTATTTTCACTTTGGAGGAAATTTCAAAATATTTATAATACTATTTGCTTTAACAGGGAGAAACATTTAATGAGAAATTTCTCGTGCAAATTTGACGATTACTTTTAAAATAGAAATTTCAATAATAAGGTCAATCATTAAATTGCTTGGTCAATATTGAACCATGTGCAATGAATGCGTGCGTTTCATTCCGATTTCGGTAATATTATCCAAAAATGGAAGGATTTATGTTTGTTACTGTTATCTCTTTTTTTTTTTTTTTTAAAAAAAAAAATTGACAAGAATAATGGGAATATCCATCGGTTTTTCGTGATCTTTTTAAGACAATCCAAAGGATTATTTTATATCAGTGTTATGTAATCAGGTTAAAATGACATTCGGGAAATCCCGGTTTCAATTATTATCATTTCTTAATTTAAAAAAAAAACCCTTATACATTTTTTCATTTAAGAAAAATTAAAAAAAAAATCTAGACCGACCGGAACCACGAAAAAAGCAATCTATACTCCCCTATTTTTTTTTTCATTTCCTTATAATTTATAATCCCCCTCCCTTTGAAAGAATTTAATTAATTCTAAATTGGTTCCGATATATTATGATTTTTAATTCTTTCCGTAACGAAATTACCGGCGGTTATTCCAAAGTCAATCCTTCTCATTCTC